TGCAAAGAAATTCTTTTCATGTAGCAATGCCACCAAACATAACCATTTTCTTGGATAGCATATTAAGAAAAAATGTAAATAAAATTACATATATATGAGAGACTTAACCCAGCCAACAAAAAAGACATTTTGCTATTTCCTTCTGGGAACAGTTTGACTCTCTGGTTCTGATTTAAGCTACTGCAAAGACTGCTTATCACCCTAACCCTACTTCACCAACTTTGTTGGAAGACGATATTGCTCCTAACAGAGCCCTTGTTCAAATTTGTAGCGCTCATGAAGAATGTTTTCTCAGAATCTGTCCATTTTCTATACAGCATCTCAGTTTTGCTGTTTTAAGAATGTAATTCTTTAAGAGACCTCTTCGTCCTGGCACAGTTAGGAAATGGCACCATCTGTGTACTTCAGATGGTTTTATCCTGAACAGAACCTTTAATCTGGTGACAGTAGTGGAAGGGGCACTTCTCCCTTTTTTGAAAGAACTGATGTATTTCCCCAAGTTAATGTAAATTAAGTCTCAATTCATCAGTGGTGGCAGCTTTCAAACTCATATAAGAATGGCTGAGTTTCAGATAAAATTCTATGGAGATTTGCCTCGTACTGCATAGTATGAATGGCAATTTTGCAGTTTGTTTCTTCTCCCTTGCCTTCTTCTCCATTTTCTACATACGCAAATAATGCTTTATTTGAAATTTTGGATAGACTGTTCAAAGTCATTAGCAAATATTACATAAACTTTAAGGCAGATTTCTACATTATATTCATTTTACTCTTCATAATGCTCTGAAACATGGGCATTCAGGTGTGACTGTGAAGAAAATAAATGAAGAACAGCTTGTCAAGGTTTGTTTTAAAGTTTGGCTGATACAAGACTAGTAGCTCAGTTCCAACTTTGACAAATAGAAAAAAACAGAAATGCTGCAATTATTCGGGTTTTACTCATGGCAAAAGGATACATGAGCTATCTTATAGCAATACAAAGGGTGTCAGCTGGGGAGCACAGGCTTTCATGTTGCCCAGTGTTACTCTGTTCTTCCTTCTACACCTTTACCCAGCTAGATAAAGGCTTGTTATATTGCAGACTCTTGGAAGCAGGACCTTTGGTCTGTGTTTATACAGCTTGTATGATACAAGTGGGTCTTAGTCCAGCACTGTGTCTCTCAGGCTCTACCAGAACACAAATCGCGAGGGAATTAAGGGGATGGTAGTTCGTTATAAATGGAGAAGCCAGTTTAGCTTCTTTAGTCCAGTGGATGCAGCACCAAAAATAGCAAACTAAATCGACTCCATGACGTTGTTTGCTTTACGCTCGAGGACTGATAAACCATTCTGGTTTCATCCTGGGAAATAAATTCAATACAATGGCATAAAGAATGAGTCACATCTTTAATAAAAAAGGAGATAAAACCAAGTTCTGACAAAGCATTACAAGAGGTTAAAGTGTATAGTGGAGAAGAAACTATCTTTGCAAATGAAATTTGAATCATTATGAGCACTGAAGAATCAATAATAATGAAATCTGGAGTTTTCCAGTTTGAGTTGCGGTATGCTGCGGTAGCTTGCCTGTTGCTTACAAAATAAACAGGCCAAAAGAGGGGTGGGCTCAACTCAGCCCTGCGTTTCCATTTTTTGACCGCATGCTATAACTAAAGACAATCATTGAGAATCCTTCCTTTTTCTAACAAAACAACAGGGTACTGATGACCTGTTAAAATGAAGGCTGAGAGGCTTTTATTTTTTCTTTCAGGATCAATTCTCAAAGTTTAACACAATCTTAAAGAAGTAATTTATTGCAGAAATTCATAATAAATGGTTATATTCAGTAGAGCTTGCTCCTTTTTTTTTTTTTTTTTAAAGATACAGGAAAGTAACAACAGG